ATGTTCCATTAGGAACCCAAGGGACTAATAATAATGATAAAGTCAACTATTCATTATCAATTTAATATTGAAAGAAATGATCTGTAATCAATACAAGAATTGAAGTTTTCTAATTTCTAGACAATATTCTAGATTTCTTTACATCAATGAGAAATGAAATTTACTGAGGAGAAAAGCGAGCTCTGATAATTGGAAAAGTATATGATATTCTACTTTATGAATGTGCTATTATTGAATAAACATGTAAGTGGAAGTTAAACGAAAGGTTAATACAGTATCAAGACAGATATCCGGGAAGGAGTGCATCTGCTAATAGTGACCAATCAGTTCGGTTCAACCAAAGACAAGAATTCATAAGCTATAACGCAACAAAGATTATACCCTACCGATAAAACAAGGAGAACCTAGCCTTGTTTACTAGCCTGTCCTAGGCCCGAATAAAGAAGGAAGGTCGGCCACACGGCTAGCAACCCTACACCGTAAAACTAATTCAATCGCAAAACAAACTTCAAAGCACAGAGGAAATATAAAAAATTAAAACAAACTTACTCCCTGCTGGAATCGGAGAGACGAAATGGAGCCGGTTGGTGAGAACTTTCGGGAACCGAATTGGCCGATCTGTCTTCTCTTCTCTCAATGAAAGCGAAAGTAAGGATGGGGACATGGAATGTCCGCGCCATGTATGAGCCTAGCAAGGCTGTCCAGATTGCAAAAGACATGAAAAGGTATAGCATAGAAGTGCTAGGAATCTACGAGAAATCTGCGGATGGAATGAAAGTGGGCTCTCCAAACTGTTTACTGAAGAGTAAACAATCTAACCAGAACCTATACCTAGAACAGAAACTGAAAAAGGAAACTACAAACAACATCACGTCATCACCCATCAAGAAAAAATGGAAGATATTATGCAACATACCCAATGAAACATATGTGGAAGAACACTGAAACTCCTCGAAACACATGTGGAAAGAAATCTGCATAACCGAATTAGGAAGGAAGAAGACGCAAGACGAGATAAGTAGTGGATCTCGACAGACAGACATATGGAGGCTGATAGAGGAGTCAGAGGAAGATGGTGAAACAGAAGATGAACTAGTCCAGTGCAGTGCAGTGCAGTACATTGCACTCCAGAGACGAACAATGAAAAGATGAACTGAACACAACCTATAAAACACTACACTGGACAAAGAAGTGAAGAAGAGTGCACACAAAGACAAACGACACTTCTACGACACACTTGCAAGTGAAGCAGAACAGACTTCGGGTTGCAGGTAGGAGAGACAGAGACCTGACAACATGATATCAAATAACCATGTTGCTCTCAACGACAAGAGGAACTGAGCACAATGTATAAAACACTGGACAAAGAAGTGAAGAAGAGTGCACGCAAAGACAAAAGACACTTCTACGAAACACTGGCAAGTGAAGCAGAACAGGCTGCAGGTAAGAGAGACCTGACGACATTGTATCAAATAACCAGGTTGCTATCAGGGAAGAGACCAACACAGATGAAACCAATAAAAGATGAAGAGGGAAATTTATTTACAAAAGAAGAGAAACAGAGGAAACGATGGGCCGACCACTTCAAGAAGCTCTTGAATCGACCACCACCTGCACTTCGTCCAGAAATACCACCTGCAGCCCAGTCGCTGAATTACAAGTGAACATTAATCCCCCAACGAAAATGGAAGTCCTGAACGCCATAAAGCTACTGAAATGCGAGAAAGCAGCAGGACCAGATGGAATACCGCCAGAAGCACTGAGAACAGATGCAGAGACAACAGTGGACATGCTCACACCACTATTGCAGAAGGTGTGGAAGGAAGAGAAGGTACCTGACGATTGGAAGAAGGGTTACCTTGTCAAACTGCCGAAGAAAGGAGACCTCAGTGCTTGCAAGAACTGGCGCGGAATCACTCTCCTGTCCACCCCAAGTAAAATATCAAGCCACATCATCCTGGAGAGGCTTAAAGACGCACTGGATTCAAAACTGCGACCGGAACAGGCAGGCTTCAGGAAGTACAAATCATGTGCAGACCAAATTGCAACGCTACATTACGCATCATCATAGAACAGAGCATAGAATGGCAATCAGCTCTATACCTCAACTTCATCGACTTTGAGAAGGCCTTTGACAGCGTCGACCGAGAAGTAATTTGGAAACTGCTCCACTACTACGGAGTACCGCAAACCTTTATCCGCCTCATTCAACAACTATATGAAGATGCCACATGCCAAGTAATCCACAATGGGAAGCTCAGTGATGCCTTTGAAGTGAAGACAGGAGTGAAACAAGGTTGCCTACTATCCCCCATGATATTCCTTATTGTGGTCGACTGGATCATGCAGCAAACAGTAGGCAGCGAGAAGAGGGGGATAAGCTGGACGGCGGAAAAGAACCTAGAAGACTTGGATTTCGCCGATGACTTATGCCTAATGTCACATAAACTTGAAGATCTGCAGGCAAAAACTAACAAGTTGACAGAAGAGGCAGCCAAGACGGGACTTCAGGTGAATATAGAGAAGACAGAAGTGATGAAGATACCGCACCACCACCATCAACAACAACAACAAACTCTAGTCACCGTCAACGGGAGAAACTTAAAGGAAGTAACCTCCTTCACTTATCTAGGAAGCACTGTTTCAACTACAGGCGGGACGGACGAGGACGTCAAAGTCAGAATCGGAAAAGCAAGACAGGCGTTCATTAGGCTGAAACCAGTGTGGAGATCTGCACTCAGCATCTGGAACAAGATACGGATTTTCAACACCAACGTCAAGTCAGTGCTCTTGTATGGCTCAGAGACTTGGCGCGTCACGAAAGGCATTTCCAATAAACTACAGACATTCATCAACAACTGCTTACGCTCGCTGCTGAAGATCAGATGGCCAGAAAAAATAAGCAACAAGGAACTCTGGGAACGAACCAACCAAGAACCTATCATGCAACAAATATGCAGGAGGAAGTGGAGATGGATTGGCCATGCACTGAGAAGGCCGACTGAGGACATCACGCGTCAGGCCCTCGAGTGGAATCCCCATGGGAAGCGACGAGTTGGACGTCCGAGCGTGACATGGAGGAGGTCATGCGAGGAGGAAATGAGAGCTTGTGGGCTGTCGTGGAACCAGGTTCAAAAGATCTCAGAGAACAGAGGTCACTAGAGGCGTGCTACTGAAGCCCTATGTTCCACTAGGAACCCAAGGGACTAATAATAATAATAATAATGTTGCTCTCTGGTGGTGAAGTGATGAACACAGATGAAACCAATGAGAGATAGTGAAGGAAACCTAGTTGCCACCAAAGAGAGAGGAGAAACAAGGGAAACGATGGGTTGACCACTTCAGAAAACTGTTGAATCGACCACCACAACCACCAAAACCACCACCTGCAACTCGTCCTGAAATACAACCAGCAGTCCAGTCACAGAACTATCACACTGCGACAAAAGTAGAAGTGAAGTGCCGGAAGCCATAAAGTGGCTGAAAGCTGGGAAAGCAGCAGAACCAGATGGAATTGCTTCAGAAGTACTGAAAGGAGACGCAGAGATATCTTCAGCGGACATCTTCACACCACTATTTCAGGAGGTTTTGAAGGAGGTCAGTAAAGATACCTTCCGAGTGGAAGAGTGGTTACGTTATCAAACTCCCAAATTAGGGTGACATTAGTCTTTGCAAGAACTAATGCGAAATCATGTTGTTGTCCACATCAAGCAAAATATTGAACCACATCATCCTGGGGAGACTAGGAGATGCGCTGTATTGAAAAGTACGACCGGAAAGGGCTGGTTGGTTGGCTTCATGAGGGGAAAACCGTGTTCGGATCAAACTGCGAAGTGACGCTACGCATCATCATATAACAGAGCATAAAATGGTAGTCAACTGGAACTTTACCTCAACTTCATCGATCCTCGTTAACAAGAGATTAAAGGCTTTGTTAGCAAACTGAATCATCTAGATTAACCAAAGATAAACAGTAATCATTACATACTAATGTGAAAAACATTGGATATAAATTAGCTGGATGGAAGGACTGAATTTATCTGTGAGAAATGACATAAAAACATCAACCTGTTATTTTTAACTGTTCGTCAACCACAGTTATGAAGATCATGTTAAAAATTTGATGGTTTCATCAGTATTTACTGTTGTGTAATGATGATGTATCAATGGTCTACTTTAGTGTTTCACTATGCGCCCTCTCAAAGTGTCACTCAGAAGGTACATCTTACCAAGTATTGCTTGCTGCATACATTGATATAGTTAACATTGACCTTGTAATTTATTTACTGTTCAATCGTCATGATATTGAGGATTCTATTATTTTTTTCTAGGTTTTAAATTCTTTGCTTTTCGTCGCTAATGCAATCTGCCATTCTGTACTTCGCATTATCGTCCCTATTCGCACTATCTGATGTAGGTAGACCAGTAGTGTTTGGGATATTAAGAAAAGGACAGGTGATATACATCATGGACTGACATCGGTTAGAGGAACATTGGATAGCTGTTTCGTCCTAGTATGTCACTCCTCAGCAGTGCGCACCCATGACTCCGACCTTCCACGAATCGAACCCAGGACCTCCAGGTCCCGTAGATAGCACATTACCCCTGAGCCACTGAATCAGAAGCCAATGGTCCATATTTTCAACTTATGTCAGTTCATGATATAGCGCGACCTACATTCAATATCATAGTATTAGTTGTTGAAGTGGTCTTGATTTTAACAATTGCATGTGATTTTAATTTCCTGTGCTCCTCAATATCTGAATACCACTCAAATTGTCTACGTTCCGCTAGTTCGTGTGCGAAACCTGCTGAAATGAATGGTATTATTTGGAACGATTTAACAATGTCTTTCTTTCCTTCCCACTCTACAATACACGATAAATGTTCCCGGCTTCCTATCCTTGTATTCTGTACGATCTGAGTTATACTTATGTGAATTATATGAAACAACTCATTTCATACAAAGAGATTAGGAATATGCAAAACATTCGATTCCTCTTAACTTGAGATTATTTCATAATCATGAATTGTATGGCTTTGAGTTAGGAGTCAATGAAAAGCTCATGAACTGAGCTGTACTATAAACTAAGTCTTAAGTAAAGTGGCTTTTAAGGTAAACGGGATAGTATGACCGATAAAACCCATCTGACATAGCTACATTTTTTCACTCCTTTGATTCGCTATAACATTTGCTATAACAAGGTGGAAACTAATATTTTATTTAACTTTTGCAAAACTAATCATTTGTTTATAAAATACGAATATGTGACGTGCTTAAAAGTGTTTATGTCTTAAAACTGGACGATTGATTATACTTTTAGTTTAACAGTTTGAGGGGGAACAATGGATTTCATCACAGACTGAAATTGGTTGGAGAACTATTGAAGAACTTTGTTCATCGGACAGCTGTTTCACCGTAGTATACGACTAGTTTCCAGTGCATACTAACAACCCCGCTGATGGCAGTATACAATAGTTGCACTGTATGGCAAATTGACAGAAGTAGGCAAATGTGGACTATTGAAATGAGATACACTAGCTGAATGGCAAAATGTTCTAACACGCACCTAAATGTCCTTATTTCGATCCCTGCCGAGTAGTCCCTACTAAGACGAAGCAACTGTCCACTCCCAACTGAAATCAGTCCATGATGAAAATAGCCTTCAGTTCATATTTTTTTCCTACAGCTTTATATTTCACGCACTTACAAATGTTAAGTTTACTTTTAGTATTAGTCACTTAAAAACATAACTGAGCATAAATGATTATAGATCAAAACATGATGTATTCAATATTCAATATAAATCATATTGTTTGTTGTTCAAGTACTTACTGATCAACAAAAAAACAAACTTCTACAGGTATCCAGTCTCATGATGTAGAAGTATAACAAAACCAATCTGCAGTTTTTTATATGTTTCTGATGTGCACACCTCCATTGAGATATACTAAAATCGATCAATTTTTTCTCTGCTGATTATTATCTTATTATTATATTATATATCATATTAATAATATTACATACTTTTTCGAAACATAAGGAAGAATCAATTTCCAGCAATAAGTAAGATGTATACAGTCAAAAGTATATACAATTGATCAATATGATAAAAACACTATAACTATGAGATAATTTCAATTGTTGTTTTATTAAAACATTGGATTTTGTCCTATTACCACTGAAATCTGTGTAAAAAATGGTTTATTTATTCGTGATACCACATGATAGGCTAAACTGTTCAATCCATCATAATGTCTTCGGTTTTCTGAAGCTTCATTTATTGTCATATGATCATTATTATTATTATTATTATGAAATGGAGTATTGTATTGTTGACTATTCGAAATGTATATATATCGTCCAATCTTGTCATCAATATGTACATAGGGTATATTAACTGCTTTAAGACGTTTTATAAAATCATTAGCATATTGTATATTTGATCCCCAATAAAAATTAGTAAAACCATTAAGAGTAATAAAATTCTGTGTAGATATTTTTATTACACCATCAATATATGATGTATAAGGTAATTTAAAATGATTTGTATTAATGGCTACACTTAAATGAATCATTGTATTCTTAGTTAATATATCACATTCATATGGTATATAATTATTAATTGGTGCTAAATTTACATCATGAAATATAATACATTGAAATTGAAAAAGTTTTAATGCTTCAATAAAGCCAATATTCATTAATTTACCTTTATTAAAAGCATAATTATCAATTTGTTCAATAACAAATATACGATAACATAAATATTGTCTTTGAAGTAATGGTATTAATGTGGATAAAGTAATATAAAGTTGTTTTAATTGATTTTTATGTGGAATAATAATAGCTATACCAGAATGTGTAATATTATCACAGTAATTATCAATTATAATTTGTGATGTTCCATTATTATTATTATTATTAGTATTATTATTATTATTATCTTTTAAGTAAATCCATGAACCACCTAATAAATGTAAATAAGTAATATTATATAATGTTGTTAAATTAGCATTGAAATTTGGCCATAATTTCAAATTATTTTCATTTGATAACAAAGAATGATTTAATTGACTTTTAGAAATTTTTGATATATCTTTACAAATACTTTTACATGTTTCTGGAATAATTAACTTATACTGTAAATTAGTAGATTTTTCATATTGAACATAATTAATTATTTTTTCATTCATCAATTGTTTATTTGTAATGAATATATATAGTATAATTAAGATTGAAATAAGTAATATTATTTGAATTGTAAAATGTTTGAAATAATTGAACATTGACTCCAAATTATTATTTCTTTTTAACTAATTGAGTAAGATAAATCAAATTATGTTTAGATTACTATTTATATGATTATGTATGCACTTTAAATTGTAAATGGTCAATTTTTAATTACATACAACCACCAATCAAATTATCATTTATCTTAACTAGGTGATTATTTACACTAAAAGGTGTTTAACACAATGTTTTCTTTGTTGTATAGTATACATATATAATTTTATTAGAAGTAAAATTCAACTTGTAAACAACCTATAACAACACTTTATGTTTTATATTTTGATTTATATTCTCTTATTCGGTTTTCTTCTATACTGAAAAAAACTTTTAATATATGATGAGATCATTTTCAATAGGTTATTTTTAGGTGAGTGTATGTATGTAGAACAGACACAATATATATGTATGAGAAAAAAAAGTCAAATTATGATGTAGTGTGCTACTATAATGTGATATAAAAACTCTCTATAAAAATTGATTTTATACCAAGTATTGTTGAAATATGATTGTATTCTGTATCCTATTCTTCAGAACATCTTTTCATTAGATGTTAACTCTTCAAGATAGTATTCATCATGAACTGAAATCATTTGGAGTAACATTGAAAACCTGAGAGCGCTGGACAGCTGTTTCGTTCTAGTATGACAGTCTTCAACAGTGCGTACCTGTGACCCTATACTCCAAGAGACCGACCGAACCCAGGACTAGCAAGTTACTATTTACCCACTGGGTTGGAATCTAGTGGTCCATATTTTAAAGTTCTGTTAGTTCACGATATGCTCAGTATTTGTCCTCACGTCCACTGGGTTTATCCCACTGGTCAAGACTTTTCATTAGAACTTCAGGAATCACCTCTCGAAGATAGTCAACAATGAGTAATAGATCAGTTGAATTTTGGGGTTTGTGGGGATTTATTGATTTCAGATTGGTATTCACCATGGACTGACATCCATGACGGGGTAATGGATGCACACTACTGAAGAGTCCCATGCTAGGACGAAACAGTTGATGTTCAGTGATCCGACGTTTCTAATGTTCCTCCAGTTGATGTTAGTCTGTGAGGAATACCAATTTGAAATCAATAAAAATCCCCAGAAACCCCGAAAATCAAGATGTTAATTTTAATTGCTCGTCCTAACAATATCACGCCATATATTACTTTTATGTGCCTTTATAAGTAGTACAAGCTAAAAATCAATAGGACTTCAAATCAAAGTGACTGAAACAACTTTCCATTGTCAACATTGGTCCTAATTAATAGTTATTAATGATTTCCAATGAATCCTTCTTTTCACCATCAGAACACCTTCGACAAATGGACAGTTAGAACAAACCTCATAAGAAGATTATTTGGTTTGAGTTGCCAGACCTGTACTCATGACAGGAGGAAAACAGTTAACAGAATTTGAACGAAATAGAGGTGTTTGAGATATCAGAATACTGAAGATGATAACTAGTAAATACGCGATTGTAATTAACCTCAGATTATATCACCTATGGTGTGCAACGTCTGACTGCCCAGTTCTGCTGGATACTGATCTACACAGCTGAAGATAGTCAAAAGAACTCAACTGTACTGGAAATCTCATGATATGTCCTAATCTGATCACATGGCTTTTATCTTACACAGTTCTGCTCCAACTATCCAGCACTATTCATCAGATTAGGTGGTAACTGGACGCATGTTTCATTCACCTCAACCTGTTCAAGTTCACAACCTCATTAAGCAACCTGTTTTTTCGCCTAGAACTCTACACATGGTTATACCATTGCTTTCTAGAACTGTTCAACTCAGAGACAATCAACCAGGAACTTTGATGTCCAATGAATCTGGAGAAACGATTCCTATGTAGTCAACTGTCTTTTTGATGAGTATTTTGACATTTTGCTAACATCACAGTATAGTGTTGGTTTGTGAAAATTTTCAAAATGACCATTATTCTGAGGGGCTTGACATATGGATATGTTTTGTTTGTGTTAGATGTTTGCAGCACATACAGGGGGTTAATGAATCATAATTTCCTGTAAGGGGAAAACTATGACACTGTGGTTGGGATTAATTATATACTAGGTTAGTTTATTCGATACAGTACGCAGTGATATAATGTTACTTCAAAGTAATGTTTAACAAAACTTAGGAAACCTCAGTACCTCAACAAATCAGCATAATTAGGGTTCCGATGGTCACAGAATCTTGATATGGTAGATAGCTTGAAATGTATGAATGTTCAATTCCGTTTGATACTCCTTCATAAGACGCATATTCTCCTTCCAAGAGTTGCAGGTACATACCTGATCAGTATATCCGTTTACAGTTTGCTTTGTTCAGTTCATTCTATCTATAAGAAGAACTTGAAACCTAAGACTGAAACAAGTGTAAGTTGAACAGCATCTATAAAGATAATGTGTGATCTATAATAGCTTTAATTCCTCAAGTATACGTGGTTAAGGGTATCTTTAAAAAAGAAGGCATCCAACGAGAAAACACTCAACTTGATCAATAGACTTCAGTCAGCTTTCAGCGCTAAGGAAGTGATGGTTAAATCGATGGTCACTTCATGTACATACTCCAGTCCTGTAGTGGGTCAGTTGTTGCTTAAATAGCTTAGTGAACATATCTTTGACCTCAGCACTGATCAACGTGAGCTCGAGTCACCGAGGCGACATTACTTTCCGCATGGTTACTGCTACATCTTACTGAAGAGTGAGAATAAGCGCTAAACATATGTTTACGGCTTCGTACCGCGGGGCGTATAGCATCTAGTAAACACGAACTTTGTTACTGATCTTGATATTTTCCAATATTTAGTTTACCACTCCTTATATCGAGACTGTCTTCACCCGGTAGTTGACAAAAGAAACATTTTACAGCTAACGTTTCACTGGTTCGAATCCTTCTGCAGCCCAAATATTCATTTCACCTTAAGTCATAACTCAGTATCAGTAACAAAAGTCTGCAAAACTATAACTACCTCAAAAAATTAAAACTAATTTTTAATCTAGAGGTGGTATTCATCGCAAAGTGATATCAGTTGGGAAATCATTGAAAACCTGAGAGCACTTGACAGCTGTTTCGTCCCAGTATGAAACTCCTTGTATTCATGCAGGTGTTGTAATAGTGGTTCACCTAACTGTCGCACTCAGTCGTTGATGTGCACAGTTATTACAACTGACTTTGTAGACTATATGGTTTTCTTCGGTTTTTTCGAGTTCCAGTTGGACGTCAAGTGGTGATAAGACGTAGAATCTTAAACACTGTACCTATCAGGCGGGTTATTCCGTGGTTATTACTATCAGCATGATTTTGATTGAAAAAATAAATTTTCTTTAGGTTGGTTAAATTAAAGATGATACAATTTTATGATAAAAAACGAGGTTATTAGTTGGTTAGAGGCAATCAGTGCGAAGCCCTGGATCTAGGTTATCAGCCATCATTAAGTTATATTTGGGTTGCTGACGTTCTCTATAAGATTCAAAGTTGCATCATCTAGTATTGCAGTTAGCGATGTTATCACTCACCTATCGGGCTGTGATTGACCTTAAGTAATACTGAACTATGTAGATCTATTGGTAACTGTGGTGTTATTATTATTATTTGTCCCTTGGATTCCTAATGGAACATAGGGCGTCAGCAGCACGTCTTCAGTGACCTCTGTTCTCTGAGATCTTTTGAACCTGGTTCCACGACAGCCCACAAGCTCTCATTTCCTCCTCACACGATTTCCTCCATGTCACCCTCGGACGTCCAACTCGTCGCTTCCCATCTGTGTTCCCCTCGAGGGCCTTGCGCGTGATGTCCCCACTCGGCCTTCTCAGTGCATGCCCAATCCATCTCCACTTCCTCCTGCATATTTGTTAGATGATAGGTTCTTGGTTCGTTCGTTCCCAGAGCACCTTGTTGCTTATTCCTTCTAACCATCTGATCTTCAGCAGCGAGCGTAAGCAGTTGTTGATGAATGTCTGTAGTTTATTGGAAATGCCTTTCGTGACGCGCCAAGTCTCTGAACCATACAGAAGCACTGACTTGACTGACACTAGTGTTGAAAATCTAGATCTTCTCCCACATGCTGAGTGCAGAAGATCTCCACACTGGTTTCAGCCTAATGAACGCCTGTCTTGCTTTTCCGATTCTGACTGGCTTTGACATCCTCGTCAGTGCCGTTTGTAGTTGAAACAGTGCAGCCTGCCTAGATAGATGAAAGAGGCTACTTCCTTTAAGTTTCTCCCATTGATGGTTATTGGAGTTTGTTGTTGTTGTTGGTTGGGTATCTTCATCACTTCTGTCTTCTCTATATTCACTTGAAGTCCTGGCTTCGCTGCCCTGCCTCTTCTGTCAACTTGTTAGATTTCGCCTATAGATCTTCAAGTTTGTGTGACCTTAGAACTGTGGTGTTATGTCATCTAGTCTTGAGTACTAACAGAATTCTACGAGTCATTTTAAAATGTCAACTCAATATAGTACAATAATCACCCAAGGTCTTCAGATGGCATCCGTTTCTCTTCCGACTGGTTGTCCCCACAGGTCACGTCTTCTCATTAGAGCTCAATGATTTCTATCTGGAAGCAAGTCACTAATGAGCACTATACAGTAATGCATTTTTGAGGTGAATGAGGATTTTTAATTTAGAAGTAGTATTCATCATGGACTGATATCAATTAGTAAACCATTGAAAGTGTGGGAGTACTGGACAGCTGTTTCGTCCTATTATGGGACTCCTCAGCAGTACACACCCACGACCCGGCTAGGGATCGAACTCAGGACCTTTAGGTTTCACGGCGAACGTGTTAACGATTCAGCCACTGGGTCGGTTTCCAGTGGTTCATAATTTCCAACTTCTGTCAACTCACAACATAGCACAAATATCACCCAAAGTCTTCAGATGGCATCCTCTTTTCTTCCGACTGGTTGACCCTACAAGTCATGGCTTCTCATTAGAACTTCGTGATATTCATCTGGAAATATGTCACTAATGAGCACCATACAGTAATGTATTTTTGAGATTATTTATTTTTTATCATCAAATCAGTCATTTCATCCTTAAATATACAAGGTAAGGTTTAACGAATATAAGCTTTTACATATTTGAGTAGAAAGAATAATTCAGTGGGATTAAATGTAACCAGTATAGAGGTTGATATATTGGTTTACATGTTCTAAATAATCCATTTGCGATTTATTTTTACATTTTGAAGTAGCAATCAACATTCCAAGGAATACACTTC